TTCTACCCCCTTTCTTCTCATTTTTATTATGGCAACAATTAAAAACTCCACCCACAATCACAGGGAGATGAGAGCTGATTAAAGGACCAATAGAATTCCACAGAACCCGACGAGTGTGGTAATTCTTATTAGCATAGACAATTGCCACAATCCACTTCTGCTGATTGGGTAATATCAAACTGCCAACAACAGCCTGATCCATAGACATATCAACAGCAAACTGTGTTATATCCCTTCTCCACAACATTAATAAACCTCCCGATTTCCCCATAGCAGGAAAAAGAAAAAAGTCCCAGTTCATACCAATAAGTCTATTAACCTCCATTCTGCTAATATCTTCTATCATAGTTTCAATTAAACCAACAAAACATACCTCATTGCTACTGACAAGGCTCCGCAGATAGTACCCCGTCATCTTCTTACGGGCACCTCTGCAATTCCAGATTAAAAGGGAAGGCATTAAAAAACAAAAGGGGAAGCGTCCCCGCCGCTAATGTCTTTATCCATCTCCTTCCTTCTTTTCCGTGAGAGTTCAGGAGCCATACTCTCTTGACTCAAATCATTTCCAAGTTTAAGTCTATTAGGCCGTGGCATAATAGGCTTGATCCCTACCGTAAATGGCAACGGCTTCTTAAACCCCATCTTCAATTGCTTACGGGTAGGCTTGATAGTACCTTGCTTGATAGTACCTTGAGGTTCCTTAATTTTATTTAAATCCACTTGTTTCAAAACAATCAAGGTTTGTTTGTTATCAGCAACTTCCTGTACCTGCCCTGAAGACGAGCACTCCTCCTTCTACGTGGAGGCACCTGGATCCAGGGACCCACCTGGTCCTCCTCATCACACTTCTCATTCACATTGCCATCCATGACGTTCTCCTTATTTTGATGCATCTCCACTTCCTTACCTTTGTCCCGGCTCTCAACAGCTTTGATCACAGAATTCCCTTCCTTTTTGACCACAGAGGGACCATCCATCACCTTCTTTCCATTACTAACCGGAATTTGAACTGAAGTTCCTTCACCTGAGCCTGCTAACTTTCCTTACTCCACCGCCTTCCGCAAATGCGCTTCACCTTGTCCTGTAACCTTCAATGGACATTGCTCCCTTCGGTGTCCAACTTTACCACAACCATAACAAAGAGTACCAATACCTTCATACTCAACTTTGTGATAAAATTTCCCTTCCTTTTTTATCACATCTAACATCTCCACACCAGCTGGTTCATTATCCAGAATAGAACCACCCTCATTCATACCAACATTGCTCATCTCAACATTATTCATCTGAACATTACTCATAACATTCAAACAATGACTAACCTCCATTGAATGCTCCGCTTCAATCATCAGCTCCTGGTTCACATCAACCTGTTCAAGAACAGCCGCCTTCAATCTATTCCGACCAGGTAATCCAGCATCAACATCGAACTCTTCTTTCATATCAATCCTTTCTTCCAGAGTAGATCGGGCTTCTTCAACATCCATTGAAGAATCCGTTCCAATAAAGGCCGGATTGAGTTTCATACTCACTTCAGAGGCCGGCATCAGCTCCATCTTCAAATCAGGAGGACAATCCTCCAGCTCATTGCAGTCGCACGCACCTGACCACCCCCCTTAGCAACCGGCATTGCCATCTTAGCATACACACTCCGAGGCTTAACCTCCCACCGACCTTCCAGCAAACCATCCGATCCCATCTTCCCTGCATCTCAAGATTTCCCCTTCAACTTCACAGTCGCAGGCTTACTCGGAGATCCTCCCAAACCAACTCTCGATCGCTCACCTCTTTTCCTCGATCCTCCAGAACCCACTCCCGAACGCCTACGATCTTCGCCTCTCATCGTTCCGTCACCACCGCCTCCGCCTGAGCGGGGAGGTGACCTTCAGTCACCCCCCTGCCATCCTCAGAGATTCTCTCACTACAATCTCCTAGAGATAGAAAAAATTTGGAGAAAATGACACCTTAGCAGAGAGAGAGAGAGAGAATAAGTGTGTGAGAGAGAGAGAGAGGGAGAGATAGTGAGTTAGCGGGAGCGATAATGAGAATGAGAGAGAGAGAGATAGAATGTGTGAGAGTGAGAGAGCATGACAAAGTGGGTGTGTGTGTGAGTAAGAGAGAGAGAGAGAGAGAGAGAGAGAGAGAGAGAGCTAGAGAGAGAGGGAGAGAGGGAGAGAGAGAGAGAGAGAGCTAGGGGAAGGGGGAGAAATAGAGTCTGTGTGTGTGAGTATGAGATAGAGAGAGAGCTAAAGCGACTAAAAGAGAGCCGAATCCCTGCATTTTGCATTAAAATGAAAGAAAACTATTACAAAATACTATCAAAAGAAAACTATTCCCTATCACTCTCCTCCCTCAACAAAGACAACAATGTTGAGGGGAATTCACTATTATTCACATCAAAGAAAGTAAAATCATTTACTAAAGCAAGGTGGGCACAAAAGTCAGTCACACGATTACTATTCTGAGGAGTATATTGAAAGAGCACCTGTTTAAACTCCAGAAAGAAAGCTGTATCCGGTCCTTCCACCCGACGATGGATCACACTCTGGCGATCATTCAGCCTCTGCAGCCATCTGATTGCATTAATACAATCTCCTTCTATAATGATTCCATCCAGCTAATACATCCAGTCCATGAAAACCTCACGGATTGCCATTGCTGCCAACATCTCTGCCTACAAAGCATCCCAGTGCTTGATATTTCTCCCAGCAGCAACAATCAATTTCCCATTATGATTTCGAACTATCATACCCAGGACAACCTGAATAGAAGGAAGCAGCGCTGCATCAAAGTTAAATTTTAGCCAACTTGGAGGGGGAGGGCACCAAAGCTTGTGAGACGGCAACCCAAAGGGTTGATTAGTACCCCATTTCTCCAGCATTGGCCATTTAAACAGTTTTGGCAGTAATGAAAGCACCGCAGTAGCAATGACAGAAGGAGATCTACACATTTTATGGTGCTTCATATCATTCCGGGCTCTCCAAACTTGAGATACTGTATAACAGTAAATTCTTCCCATGCAAGGATTGTTCTCAGCATACTTCAGCAATTCAATCTTTAGATTCAAAAGAGAATTAACAACAGGAAAATTAAACCCCCATCTACAAAGAATTTCCATCACCTGCTTCAACTTAGAGCACCGGGCCGAGCAGTGATCTAAATTTTCCTCCTCATTACATCCCCACGGGCAATAAGATGTATCATCTAATGTTCTTCTATACAACCAATGAGTGGTTGGAATGGCATCCCTCAACAATCTCCACCAAAAGAAATGTTCTCGTGGGTGCAGTTTTAGCTGCTTCAACCAACTGAAATCATAGTTTCTCTTCTCCTCAGTATCTCTATAATCCATGGCCGCAACTGTCATACTCATCCTGGAATAAATGAGCTCAGGGTTATCCTCCAGGCTCTCAGTGGATATATTAATGGCCAAGATACGATCAGCCATAGTCTTCCCAAAGAAATGTTTAACCATCTCTTCATTCCACTAAAAACAATTATTCAACAAGTTACAGACCTTCATATTTTTCACTTCTTCAATGTTAACGAACATAGGCTATTTCGTAATATTATGATTCATAATCCACACATCTTGCATCACATCAATTTGGTTGCCATTCACAATGTTCCACCTGAGGATCGGTCTCAACGCCTTAGCACCATCATGGATCACCTTCCAAGTAATAGAGACTTTCTTCCCCTGAACATAGTCCCATAAATTCATACCATACTTGGCCATCAGCACCTTGTAAATAATTGAATCTTTATTCTGGATCAGATCCCACACCACCCGTGCATGCAGAGCCCCCTTCCACCGAGTAAGACAGTGAAAGCCAAGGCCCCCAAGATCCGTCAATTGGCACAATTCCTTCCATCCCACATAATGCATCCTACGACTACTAGCATCTTTCTGCCATAAAAAATGCCTCCCCATTCGTAATAGCCATAAGAACTCCATTAGGAATAGAAGTATGAGTCATAACATACATAGGAACAGATAACAATGAAGTTTTGACCACAAGGGCCCTGCCAACAAGTGAAAGATGTTTTCTGCCCCAGAGATTTATCTTCTCAAACCCAATTCTCATAACTTTGGAGAAATCAGCCACAGTCAGCCTCCTCATGACAAGAGGGAGGCCAAGATATTCCAAAGAATCAACCTTTTTATATCCCATTAATCTAGCAATCTTCCTCTTCCTCCAACTTGGGCAATTTATGTTGAAAAGAATAGCAGACTTTCCACAATTAATCTTCTGACCAGTCCAGCAACAATAATCTCCCAACAATTCCATAATCCGACGGGCATTGCACCTGCTAGCTTCTGTAAATACAAGGATATCATCAGTGTACAGTAAGTGAGAAATGCTTACTGTGTTCCTAGCCATCTGGACTCCAAGATGCACTCCACGCTGTTTAAAGGATTTGGAAAGAAGCTCAAAACAAAGAATAAACAAATAAGGCGACAAGGGACATCCTTGTCGTAGCCCACTTCTAGCATCAATCCAACGTGTCCTGTTACCATTCATCAGCAAAGTGAACTTCGGCTCAAAAATACACTGCATAACCCAAGTGATAAATCTCTTCTTGAATCCGATCAAGTTCATTACTTCCTGCAGTGTCTCCCATGACATACAATCGTATGCCTGCTCCATATCAATCTTTAAAGCCATTAGTCCAGATTTCTAGGTAGAGTGCTTAAACTTACTCATCATTTCCTATGCCATGAGCCCATGATTGGATATAGATCGACCCGGAACAAAAGCCCCCTGTTCCTCGCTGATAATAGTACTCAGCACTGGTTTTAGGCGGTTAATCAGCACCTTGGCAACAATCTTATAAAAAGATTGACATAAACTTATAGGACTGAACTTGGATGGCATATTAGCATTCTCCATTTTTGGAATTAACACCACAAGGGTTTCCTTCCAGCTCTGGCACGTCACGTTAGTATAAAAAAAATGTAGAATAGCACTAATAACATCTTTCTTTATAATCTCCCATTAGAATTTAAAAAAAGAGGAGGTTATACCGTCAATCCCCGGCGCTCTGTTACTGCCCATACTAAACACAGCTTGACGGATTTCAGACTCAGAAATTTCTGCCTCCATACTTTCACTGAACTTCACAGGGATCATATCATCATTACAGAATTCAGGCCAATTAGCCAGAGAGACCTGCCTATCTCTCCACTTCAGCATGAAAAAATTCCAGAATTCCTCTTGAATAAGATTCGGATCAACAATCCTCTCCCCATTAGAATCTATGACTTCAATAATACGATTCCCTCGCATACGACCAGATGCGAAAGAGTGGAAGAAATGCAAGTTCGTATCTCCTTCATCAATCCATCTGGCTTTCTCTCTCTGCTTCCACCAGGTAGCGAGCCGAGCTAAAGTAGTGTTCAACTCAATTGCCTTCAACCTAAGCTCTTGTTCCTGTTCCTCATTCAACTCATTAGGAGAACAGTCCACCAATTGAAGTTCTTCAATATGGCTTTCCAGAGAAAGTTTCAGCTCACTAAGTTCTTTAAGTCGATTATGACTCCAAAAGAACAAAGCCTTAAGAGTTCTACTACACTTGCGATTCACCACCTCATCAGGCATCCCAAAATCCTCCATGGTCCAATTCTTCCAAACTAACCTCCAAGTGACAGGGTAAGTCATCCAAATATCTTTAAACCGTATCCATATGTTCCCAGGTCTCGGGGTTTCAGCAAAAAGATTCACCAGCAATGGACAATGGTCCGATGTCAACCGGACCAAATGTTTAACCACAGCCACAGGTGCCCATCTTAATCCTTCAGAGTTCATCAGAATTCTGTCAAGCCTCACCCAAATCTTACTGTGCCCAAATTTATTATTAGACCAGGTATATTTGGGACCCAAGAATCCCAAATCATGTAAGTCATTTTCTACCATGAACTCAACCATCTCCAGAGCCCCCACTGAGAAATTATATCTCCTCCCACCCTTCTTCTCACTTTGGTTTAAGCAGCAATTGAAATCTCCCCCCACAATCACAAGGAGATCAAAACAAATCAACGAGCTAATAGTGTTCCAAAGCAAACGTCGGCTATGATAACCTTTATTAGCATATACCACAGCAACAGTTCACCTTTCCATATTAGGAAAAATAAGATTCCCAATAAGCACCTGATCCATGTTGTCAATAACTTCAAACTTTGCAACATCTCTCTTCCATAATGCAATCAATCCTCCAGATCTACCATTCGCAGGGGAATGAAAAAATTCCCATTCACTCCCAATCAAACGATCCACCTCCAGCCTGCTCATATCCATCACCATGGTTTCAACCAGTCCCACAAAACAAACCTCGTTGTTACCAACGAGACTACGCAGGTAATAGCCCGTTTGCTTCTTCCGGGCGCCCCTGCTGTTCCATATCAGGATCAACGACATTAAAAAACAAATGGGGAAGCATCCCCGCCGCCATAACCAATAGGGAGATCATCCCCACCACTATGGGCATCAGACATCTCCTTCTTCCTCTTCCTTGGGAAATCCGTAACAGGTCCCAATTGACTAAGTTCCTTCATAATCTTACCCTTAATAGTAATAGGTAAAACAAGTTGCATACCCACTCTTTTCTGCTTATGTGTCAACTTCAAATTACTCAAAGGAGCAACAACCTTGCTCAAATCAACCTGCTTGGGATTATTTTGTAACTGCCTGTTACTGTTGCTCACAAAATTCTTCCCAGAAGGGCGGCCACTTCTTCTTCGACGGGGAGGAACCTGGATCCACGGTCCCAGCTCATCATCATTCTCCCGATCACATTCCTTCCTAGTAGAAGATCCGGCAATAGCCCCCTGCTTGGCATCCTTCCCCCCTTCCATAATTCTGTTGCCTCCCCCCTTATTCTGACCACCTCCTTCAATTTTGATCACAGGATGAGTAACCGTCTTGGTTTGCACCTTCTAAGCTCGCTCAATCCTACCTGAGGACTGCTCAGAGTTCTTCACTCTGCTTCAACTGTTCTCCTATTTTCCTTGTCCTGTATCCCCTTGACCACCATCCTTCAAAGGATAGTGATCTCTCTGATGGCCAATTTTACCACAGCCAAAGCACATAATGCCAATGCCTTCGTATTCTACCTTCTGATAGAATCTCCCATTCCATCCATTGACCTACACTCCTGCCTGAAGTTTATTTGCCAAATTCATCCGTATGCATACCCGAGCATATTTTCTTCTTCCCCAATTTGCTTTCAATGCATCAATCCATAAAGGAGTACCAATCTTCGTGGCGATCCGAGCAATGTTGCATTCATCCCAATATTGCAATGGGAGATTGGGTAATCATATCCAAACCGGGGACGACAGTCCCTCCATAGAAGCTGGGGATTAAATAGGTGTCCACCTATCCAATCCCACCAGATTACCACCGATAAACCAGGGGCCGCCCCTTAGCACTTCATTTCTAGCTTCCACAAAAGTAAAAATGCAAATAAAGCAATCCGCACCCAAAGAGGTGAGCTGAAAATCCCCAAACCTTCCCCATTGTCGTTGGATCTCAGATTTCAACAAGAAGAACGAAGCTCTTCAACCCAAAATCTTCCCCACAACAGCTTGATCAAGGATCTCCATGCTAGCCTTGACTCTATCCAGATTTAGATCAATGGAGATCTCGTCTCCTGAGATGGCATTGATATCTTCCGAATGCAAGATCGGGACGTGATCCGGCTTTTTCCATGGATTCCCCATACTAGCCGCAAACAAAACTCTCGGGGTCACCCTCTTCCCATGGCTCTCCCCACAGTTCCCACTTGATTGCCCTACATCAACATTCCCACAATCATCTGGCGTGCATCCAATTGACTTGCTCAAACCAGAGGAGCTGCTCCCTACTTCGATCACACCTACAGTATCTTGTACAGCTACCTCCATTTCCGTCATCGCCACCCCTTCCTCCAAAGATGCATTGTTCAACACCTTATTACTCCAATCAACTACATATGCACTTACCTCCATCGGATAATTTCATCCCGACAATGCAGCATTCACATAAAATATTTCTTCCATTTCTTCTCTGTAATCCTCGATCGGAGCTGTGTCTTCTACCTCCATAGAAGAGGCCGACGCAATAAACACCGGGTTGAGCTTCATACTCATACCCGATTTCGATTCTAGCTCCATCGCTACCCTCAGTGGAGGATCCTCCCTCCTAGCTCCATCAGATTTGATCTGGTCAGATCCAGCCTTCCCGATCTGTAGAATCCCCTAAGGATCCAAATTTCTCGGTTTCACCTCCCATCTACCTTCCACCAATTCTCCGATCCTGATTTTGCTACCT